TACTAGGGTTGTTGGTTCAAATTCAAACCATGGCACCACAACTAGTAACGCCAAAAGTGAGAAAATATAAGACTGACTTACTTTTAGGGCCAGTTCACACCAGGAATTACAGAAGAATGCACTCTGAGTTCCTGTATAATTCACATGTGGTTCAGTGCAGTACAATTGGAGCCCATTCATGAATGGGCTGAATCACAGAAAAAGTAGTGAATTCACTACTTTAAAAAACACAGAGCACAGGAATCACATGGTACTTCTGTACCATGCAATCCCCTGCAGGAAACGTGCTATGTTTGCAACCTGCAGATTGCAATCCCAACCATGGCACCACCTGCCTGGAGTTTGCATGTTCTCCCTGTGCCTGCCTAGGTTTCCTCCAGGTACTCCAGTTTCCTCCCACTTTCCAAAGACACACTGGTAGGTTAATTGGATCCTGTCTAAATTGGCCCTAACATGTGTATGTATGAATGTGAGTTAACAACCTTAGATTGTACACCCCTTGAGGGTTAGGGACTGATGTGAATGTACAATATATATGTAAAGCACTGCATAAATTGATGACACTATATAAGTAACTGCAATAAATAAATACCATAGAAGCATCTAATACCAGCCAAAAATAAATCACAGTATCATCTATGCAGGAGGGAGGTCAGGCCTGCCCATTATTTCTAAAAATGGGTAATATCCCATTCAAAATTAAGTCCATCCAGTATGCGGGTTTGGAGATGGAAGATCCAAAAGTCCCTTATTCCTGCATAGAAGACAGAAAGCATCACCACCCCTACAAGGGGCACTACTTTTTCAATTACCTGAATCCATACCGCTGATGACTTTGTTGCCTGAATGACAAGCATTAAAATGATGGGCTACATTTGTTGAATGTTTTTTCTCAATGCTTTGTAAGTGATCATAAAACCAATCCCAAGGCGTTTAATTGTTCTCCCTACATACTAGATGTGATATATCTTGCAAGAAATAACACGTATGGTATTACAATTAAAAAAAGAACCAATCTTGAACTCCTCGCTGTTAGAGGAAGAGCTGAACCTGTGAAGGACACCTAAGGGTGAACTGACCCTTGAAATGCATCACGTGATGTGCCAGCATAAAAAAAAAATGGCCTACATTTGCGTGCCAAACTAGCAGATGAGGTGGAATATGCTGTGGAATCTGATGTGTTTAGAAAAATGTGAATGAGGAAGTATGATGAAAGCTAAATATTTTCTAGACTGTGCTCGAGCTTGACATCATTTTCTAAGTAAAAAAAAACATTTTTAGAGTTTATAACTGTAGTAGTTGTAATTTGGGAAATTCTAAAAATGCACAGCACCACAGTAATCATGATTCCTCCATTTTGTCTGGAATAGACACATTTTCTTTAGTATGGATGCCTAAAATGTGATTAATAAATGGTATGTATGTATGTAGAATAAATCCATTCATTGCCTATGGCTTCCTAAGCCCCAAGATATGATTTTAATGTGTAACTAAAGTTAAAAAAAAAAAAATGTATATGCTGCAGAATTATTTTAAATTATCTTTATTTCTCTCCTGTTCCTTTACCGCTAGGTTCACATCTGTGCGGGTGGTGCCGCTGTGGATCCACGTGAAAATCTGTGCAGCCGCACCACCCGCACAGAGGAATGCGGACCTGTGGGCGGGTGCCATTAGTTCTAATGGCACACCGCCCACACTGAAAAACGCAACCGTTCTGGGAACCGAGGTTCCCCTGAGGGCTGCGTTTTCCAAAGAAGTGCAGGGACTTCTTCCCTGCGTGTCACAGGCACGGGCACGGGAGTCTATTCAAATGTACTACTAAACCCACAACAGTAAGATCAGCCTGTATATGCAGTAAAGAATGCTTGTTATACTCACTGTGGAACCTAAGGGGTTAATCCTACACATTGTGTAAAAAGTCAGTTTGATCCTTTCTTCTCTGTTCCTCCTCTTTTTCAAGTGGCCACCTTTTATCGCCTGATAAGACAGACTGAACCGTAGGCATTTTGCACATGATCAGTTTGGTGTGTATTGCTAGAGAGGTTTTTTTTCTTGGAAGAGTGCATGTGATCAGCACAGGGCCAATCAGCACTGTCCAGACAGAGGTTCTGCATCCTTCTAGAGCAGAAAGAAAACTCCTACAAACTTTATCTAGTACCTGGCTGAACACTCACAGAAGTCACAAGACTGCTCTAACTTCTGATGAGATAAGGTATTTAGCAGTTTTTATTTACTAAAATAATTGCATTTCCATGTTCTGTGTACTGTGGCAGACCAGATATAGTGGATGCAGGGTCCTGGGTTTAGTAACACATTAAGCCCACTGCGGTGAAATGCATTGGAGGGGGTCATTCTCAGAGAGGAACGTGATGTGTGCTGTTTGTAGTTGACTAAAGTTTCTACCATATAGTGTCGTAATCGCTGAGTGGTCTGCTTGTTATACCCATTCAAAAGCACTGAAATCAGAGACTACAAGTCTACATTTACACTGTATTGTAACATTATGGCTTTGTTCACATGTGTATACTTAAGCGTACGTCCATGAGAGGTCCATGTTTGCCCACACAAGGATGCACAGCTATTACGTGGATTTCCATGTAGGCAGTCCCATTGATGTCTATTGGGACACAGCAGCTGAATGGACACAGCCGCTGCTCCCATATCCCTCGGAAAAGTCATATGGGGGATAGGAAAGCCCGCTTTACGGCATAAGGTACAAGGAGACATATGACATGTAGTTTTGTAATGGATAAGAAGATTATACATCAATCACGCTGCTGCCCGATATGGAGAATCAGAAATAGTATACGGCAGCAGCAGCAGGGACAGAAGGACAATATGGGGACACGGTAAGAATAATCACTTTACAAATATGAATACAGCATTTTTCTTTGGTGAAACATGGTCTTTATTGATACTGTGATCTCAGGGACACAGAATGTAAAAAAATGCCACTTTTACAGGCATTTGACTTTTTTATCCAGCCTGTTAAGGCACCTCTATGCTAGCCTATATGACCATGCACACAATGGTGTTTGCAGAAAAGGGAGTGTTTAAAGGCAGAAAAAAATGCACCACCAAAATGTTCTGGAGAGGAGCTTTTTGGCAAAAAAAAAAAAGCGCTGATCGCACCTAAACATGTCTAAATGCGCCTACACTGTTTAGCGCTTGAACGTTCATTCATTCCAACCACCAAAATGTTCAGGAGAGGAGCTTTTTGGCAAAAAAAGTGATTGCACCTAAACATGTCTAAATGCGCCTACACTGTTTAGCGCTTGAACGTTCATTCATTCCAACCACCAAAATGTTTAGGAGAGGAGCTTTTTGGCAAAAAAAAAAAAAGCTGATCGCACCTAAACATGTCTAAATGCACCCACACTGTTTAGCGCTTGAACGTTCATTCATTCCAACCACCAAAATGTTCAGGAGAGGAGCTTTTTGGCAAAAAAAAAAAAGCTGATCGCTCCTAAACATGTCTAAATGCGCCTACACTGTTCAGCATTTGAACGTTCATTCATTCCAACCACCAAAATGTTCAGAAGAGGAGCTTTTTGGCAAAAAAAAAAAAGAAAAGTTGATCGCTCCTAAAACATGTCTAAATGCGCGTACACTGTTCACTGCTTGAACGTTCATTCATTCCAACCACCAAAATGTTCAGGAGGAGCTTTTTGGCAAAAAAAAAAGCTGATCGCACCTAAACATGTCTAAATGCGCCTACACTGTTCAGTGCTTGAACGTTCATTCATTCCAACCACCAAGATGTTCAGGAGAGGAGCTTTTTGGCAAAAAAAAAAAAAGCTGATCGCTCCTAAACATGTCTAAATGCGCCTACACTGTTCAGCGCTTGAACGTTCATTCATTCCAATGGCCAGGATAAATTAATATTCTGGTCAATGGAATCAATGAATGCCCAAATGCTTGAAGCACCTAAATCGCATCTAAATGTGTGCAGTTTTTAGGTGCATTTTTTAAGCTGCTTTTTTCCATCCAGAAGCAAAGGTGTCCAGTAGAGAAAAAAAAAACAAACCCAGTGTGCATGTGGTCTAAATATCAGCACAGTGACTTAAATCAGACCATGTGAACCCTGCACCAGCACACTACAGCTGCATGCATCCCTATTCAGTTGAACAGCTCGCATTCATTGAGCAGTACTGCCTGCTGAATGCAACAGTAGGGATCATTTTTGCTGCACTGCATTTGCACTTCTCCCACTGTTGCCTCTGCAGCATAAAGGAGAAGGGTTGATGGGGAGGGGGGTAAAAGCACAGCTCATTCATGAATTTTTATTGCGCCCTTCCCCCCCCAAGCACAAGTATACACTGGTGTTGCAAAATAGGCAGTTGGATGCCATTTGTACTGCTTCCCAACCTCTTATCAGCTTCACACAAAATAGTTAAAACAGGAGCAGATGAAGGTGTACACAGTGCAGTGTTAGCTCTGCTTTATGTTGTGGCAAGATAAAAAAATAATGCCACCTGCAGAGTCCAGCGTGTGTTGCTTTGCAATCACCTCCATTTATTTCCACTGAAATGCAACACAAGCACAGTATAAACAACCTGTAAACGTGCTTCTGGCATTGACAGTGCGCTTAGGGCATGGTTGTAAGCTTTACAATTGCTCATCTCCTATTTTAGCTTAGTAAAAAAATGTTTTAAATATCTCACAGGGCTTTTGAGGAGAGTTGCCTGACATGACTTGAACACCTTTGTAACACATCCAAAACAATCATTAATGCTTTTGGTGCATTAAATATGTGAAAGAGCTTTGAAGATTTTTTTTCTCACTTCCTCTTCTGTCTCCATAGATTAAATTGCTAGTAATAAGGCACAAATAAACATTTATTAAAGCTCACAAAGCTCACAAAGACATTAACCCTTCCCTGCTATAACCAAACTCCAAAAGATACACTATATTGGCAAAAGTATTGGGACACCCCTCCAAATCATTGGATTCAAGTGTTCCAATCACCTCCATGGCCACAGGTGTATAAAATCAAGCACCTAGGCATGCAGACTGCTTCTACAAACATTTGTGAAAGAATGGGTCACTCTCAGGAGCTCAGTGAATTCAAGCGTGGTACCGTGATAGGTTGCCACCTGTGCAAGAAGTCCATCCGTGAAATTTCCTTGCTACTAAATATTCCACGTCATCTGTTAGTGGTATTATAACAAAGTAGACGAAACTGGGAACTGGGAGTGGGGTCAGCGCATGCTGAAGTGACCAGTGCAAAGAAGTCACCAACTGTCTGCAGAGTCAATAGCTAAAGACCTCCAAACTTCATGTGGCCTTCAGATTAGCACAACAGTGCGTAGAGAGCTTTATGGAATGGGTTTCCATTGCCGAGCAGCTGCATCCAAGCCTTATATCACCAAGTGCATTGCAAAGCGTCAGATGCAGTGGTGTAAAGCATGCCGCCACTGGACTCTAGAGCAGTGGAGACATGTTCTCTGAAGTGATGAATCATGCTTCTCTGTCTGGCAATCCAATAGATATGTCTGGGTTTGGCGGTTGCTAGGAGACATTGTACCAAGTGTAAAGTTTGGTGGAGGGGGGATTATGATGTGGGGTTGCTTTTCAGGGGTTAAGCTTGGCCCCTTCATTCCAGTGAAAGGAACTCTTAAGGTGTCCGCATACCAAGAGATTTTGGACAATTTCATGCTCCCAACTTTGTGGGAACAGTTTGGGGATGGCCCCTTCCTGTTCTAACATGACTGTGCACCAGTACATAAAGCAAGATCCATAAAGACATGGATGAGCGAGTTTGGGGTGAAGGAACTTGACTGGCCTGCACAAAGTCCTGACCTCAACCCGACAGAACACCTTTGGGATGAAAGAGCGGAGACTGCGAGCCAGGCCTTCTCGTCCGACATCAGTGCCTGACCTCACAAATGCTCTTCGGAAAGAATGGTCAAACATTCCCATAGACACACTCCTAAACCTTGTGGACAGCCTTCCCAGAAGAGTTGAAGCTGTTATAGCTGCAAAGGGTGGACCAACTCAATATTGAACCCTACAGACTAAGACTGGGATGCCATTAAAGTTCACGTGTGTGTAAAGGCAGGCGTCCTAATACTTTTTGCAATATAGTCAGGGGCGGACTCACCATTTAGGCACTCGGGCACTGCCCGAGGGCCCGGAGTCAGTAGGGGGCCCCATGAGATGCCCTTGGTACCTTTCATAGGCTTTTTTGAGTGTAGTTTAAGTGTGGGCTGAGATACAGGGGCCCCATGATTTCCTATTGCCCGGGGGCCCCATGAGTTGTCAGTCCGCCCCTGAATATAGTGTATTTTTTCAGTGGAATTGGGCTTTAAAAAGCCTGGTCTCTCAGTGGTCATCACAAACATTTACGAGGGCCTCCACCATGAAGCAAACATCAATATATTGCAGTTAATATTGAGTGACGATGTGATCAGCTCATCAAATTATGCACGGAAATTGTTTGATCATCAGAATCAGCTGTGTCACATCTCTGATCAGAATCAGCTGTGTCACATCTCTGATCAGAATCAGCTGTGTCACGTTCTTTCAACTTGTTGAAATTTCAAGTGATGTTTTTCACAGTAAAGTTTTGCTGATTTTTGGCATGAGTATGTGATGGATTTTATGAAGGCCCTCTATCACATTTTGTTGTTAATTGAATACAATTAAACTGTTCTGCTTTATCTCATTAATATCCCCTTTAACAGTACTTACAGTAAATGTCAGATCTTCATAACATTTGCCAGATTTGCAGTTCTTCATAATAGCTTTCATGTACTCATTTGGAAACCTAATTTTCTTTCTGGAACATTTCCTCCGTATGTAGTATTGCTTAATAGATAGTGAAAAAAATATTCCACTCACACTTCCAATAAATTGACTTGAAGTACAGTATATCTAAATCAAAATCTGTATTTTGATTTGTGTCCCATTTGGGGGATTTCCTCTACTTCTTGTCCAGGAGACTCAACAAGAAGTGAAAGGAAAACTCTCCAAAGTGAGGGTAAATTCCCTTAGACACAACTGATGTCCCCCTTGGCAGGGATTTCCCCTTTGTTTCTGTTCCAGTGACAGCAATAAAAATGTAAAATGGTATATTTTTCATTGCTTTCTGTCACAGACGGCAATATAATCTGACCTGTGTTTTAGCACTTTTTCAGTAATTTTTCTCCTTCTTTGATGTGCGCTAATGAGGCTGCAGCGATGGGCACTGATAGGCTGCAGTGATGGGCACTGATAGGCTGCACTGATGAGGAGGCACTGATAGGTAGCACTGGTGGGCATTGACAGGCATCACTGGTGGGCATTGTCAGGCATCACTGGTGGTCTCTGAAAGGCAGCACTCATATATAGCACTGATAGGTGACACTGATAGGCGGCACTGATAGGCAGCACTGACTGGCACTGATATGTGGCACTGACTGGCACTGTTAGGCGGCACTGATAGGCGATGCTGACTGGCACTGATAGGCGATGCTCACTGGCACTGAGAAGTGGTATTGATTGGCGGCATTGATAGGCAGCACTGACTGGCACTGATAGGCGGCACTGAAAAGCAGCTCTGAAATGCACTGATATGTGGCATTGATGTGCACTGATGTGGCATTGATATGCACTGATGGGCACTGGTATATGGCATTGATGGGCACTGACAGGTGGCAATGATGGGCACTGAAAGGCAGCACTGATGGGCTACACTGATCATCAGTGCCCTGATGATCAGTGTAGATGTCCCCTCTGAGGAATGCCGCTTACCGGCTCTCCTCTCCTCACGCACTGTCAGCATGAGGAGAAGACTGCCAATAAGCAGCATTTCCTGTTTACATGTGATCAGCTGTGATTGGACACAGTGTCATCTGCTCTTTACTGCGATCCGTGATCCTCTGTGTCCCAGGGACACAGCACACCACCGATCACCGTGCCCTGTATGGGGACTGGAGCTTCGCTTTAAGCATAACAAAACTAAACAAACCTCACTTTTCCTTTTTTTTTTTTTAGCAGTGTTAGTTTAAAAATAGTGTTACTGCAGATAAAAAGTGCACATTTTATTCTGTAGTTTGTCCCATTTAAAATTACACTAAAATTATAATTCTGATAGAAAACTTTACAAAGTTATTTACAAATGAATTAGTGTTTTTTTCCTTAGCTTTGCACTTCTTTAAACGTGAAATGTGTAAATATATGTTAAATGTGTAAACATAGTAAAGAAACAAAACAAACAAAAAAGTTTAAATATAATGGTTTTTATAATAGAAATGAACAAAAAAAAAAATCAGCAGGAAAATAATTGAATGGATAAGGAGAATAAGGAGCTAATTAGAGCACACTAAGGGTTAATAAGAGGTAAACAAACATTTTATTACAAAACAAAAAAAAAAAAAACTTTTACTTGTCAGGTTGCCAAAGGGAAGTTCATCCCTTTGATCTGCAGATTAATGAACAGAATGATATAAAAGTAACAATATGTTATATTGTATTGTTCTGTTGCATCTGAGCAAGTGTTAATTATAAACACTGCTTTTTTGACAGCTGAAACTGCTGACCTTCTATGTGTACACAGCCATGCCAACTTTTATTAATCAGAGCCTAATTGCTGTATACTGGGAGGGGAAAGTAGAGCAGAAGGACTGGACATGCTACATGCTTCCTATAAACAGTACTGACCTTTCATGGGCGTGTGTAGCATGTCCAAAGTCTGGGACTAGTTATAGGAGTACTCTACAAATAATTTGAATACAATGTGGAAATTAATATATGATTTTACATTTTGATCATATATTCACCCTTAACACCTTCCTGACCACCCTGGCATCCCAGTTCTGCATGCCTGGGGAGGCAGAAAGGATTGGTGATCATGTGCCACTGTGATTGGCTGTCAGTGTTGGCCAAATGATTAGGAGCTGGTCCCACTGCCTACCGATTGTTAGTCAAGACCGAGAGCTGTCTTTGACAGCTTGATCTCTCTGCTGGGACAGAACATTGAGCATGCTTTCAGCACAGAAGCATTGAGTGCCCAGTGACCCATATGTGCAGCATGTGAGCAGTAAAGCCCAACGCTTTGCTGATACACATACAGTATGTGTTATGCGGTCAGCAACAGACTAATGGTACTTAGACATGCATTCAGCACTGAGCAATGACATATTATATGGTCTTTCTGACCATACATTATTATGTATTCTTTTGTGGACATAGATTGATTGTATAGCCTTTGGCGACATGCTCTTTAAAGCAGATTGGCTCCGAGAAGTCTGATAGAAGTAAAATTTGTCATTCATAAGCCATCACTCAAGGTTAATGTTTTGCTCAAAATACAGTCCTGGTATTCCTAAAACAGTCCAAAACCAAGATTGCAATAACTATATACAGTAAATTATGGTTACCAGAAAATCCCTAAACCGAAGAAAGTCATATTGCATTCCATTGCCGAGACAACGTTCCTCCAGCACCCTAGGCGAAGATAACAAAATGCATCCCACTCCCTCCCACTTTATTCAGTTCCTGCCACGTATATTTCGCTATATACTACCCGAGAATTTGGAGAAATCGTAAATAACTGTCACTTTTTGAATGGGTTTTTGAAACATACAATAATGGAGAATTGCAGTTTGAAACCACAGCTCGCAGTAACCCCCGGTCATACATAAACTTTGCAATAAACGTTACAATCTTTTTTTCTTTTAAGTTTGGATAGGAAAGAATGGAAATTTTTAAAAACAATTTTTTGTATATGCAACCCCATTGGAGAGATTTTCCCCCAGTGTTGCCAACCTACCAAATTGAAATTTACTGACACGACACCCAAATTTTACAACACCCGACACCCAAGTTTTTAGTGGCATTTCCAAAAGTTAAAAAATTGCAGTTTTAAGGGCAAATTTCAGTATTTAGGCTACAAACAAGTGCAATATATAGTTAGCAATGTGATTTAAGGTAGATGTTAAGGTAAAAAACATTTTATTTTTGATCAAGTAAGTAGCTCAGGGACAGGACTCAGGAGGGAAAGAAATTAGAATGGGCACACATGAAATTGACTCTCAAAGTGACACTGACAGTAATGTGCAGCAGCATATATGTTGATGACACCCCATTGACATGACATGTCCCCTCAGAGTGACAGTCTCTCTTCATGCTCGGTGATCCCTTGAGTCCACTCCAGTCCAAACAGCACTGACAGTCCGGCTTGCCTTGCTCCCATCCCGTAGACCCGCATACAAGGCTCCAGCCGCTCCACTCGGCTCCTTTGCACCAGACATCACACGACACGCTCAGGCACTGCCTCTGCCAGACCCACCCACTGCTGGCGCCACCCAAACACACTGTAGCAGGCACTCCAATGGTCTTGGCCGGGTCCCAACTGGAACTGCGCATGCAGCCACAGCCATATTTTTAACTGGCAGCCTTTTCCTTTTACTGGCATTTACTGTAAGGAGAAAGGTGCTTATCTTTTTACTGGCTGCCTGTTAAAATACTGATGGCTGGCAACACTGATTTTCCCTCACTTCATGTCCTTGTGACACCAAGGAATAGGGGGGAGGGG